ATCTTCAATTCGTGAGACTACTACATTACAGTCACCCCTGTATGCTGTATGTTTCAACACTTGTACTGTTTATGGGTATTACAGAAGAATTAGCATCCATAGCTCCTGAATGCACACACCTGCATTTATTTCCATAATGCTTTTATTTGTTCACCGCTTCCCAAATTATTAGTGACAGCTACTTCAAAGTGAAATCCTGCTGGTAGCTACAGAACCACTACTCTTATGCATACCCCTTCTGCAGTTTCTATCATCTTCAGCATTGTCTGAAGTCACTTCGGATTAAACAGATTATTCTATTTCTGTGCACTTCTGTGGACTTCCCAGTTGAAAACACGAGCTGTAGGATTTCATGACACAGGGCACATTTACCACTAAAAATTTCTAGCTGCTGCATAGCCCTCAGGAAGAAAAGGGTTTAGCCACTATGGTCACAATAAATATAAGCACAGGACCTAAATGAAAAGGTCAGACTCTGACCTCCAATCTCTAGAACTCTCCTTAATCCCCTGAGCTATCCAAACATAATGGATAAAAGCAATCATCACGCTAAAAAGTACGTAAAAGAACCGGTTAGCTGTAGCCTGCTGTTACTTGTGACTACAGATTTCCAGTAACGTGGAAGAAAACAAACTAAATGACTTGATAAAATAACGGTATCTACATGAACTTATAATTTCTCCTCTTGGCACTGTCCTTGTAGCTAGATATCTATGTTCAATGCTGTGTATATATGTAACGAATAGTACTACTCTTCTTCGTTTTAAAATAAATTGTTTCTTAGATTAGAGGGACAGTCTTAAAACACAGTATCAGCTCTCATAACCTGGTAACTATCAAGGGTCAAAAAGAGAGGTGTTTGTTTCTCGTTCCGTTCCAAAGAACGGCATTTATGCAGCGAGGAGCACATCAATGGGGAGTTCAGCCCACTCTGACACCCCATAAGCAGATCGGTGCAGCAGAGCTGTAACTATTTCATCTGCAGATCCTGGATTCCAGCACCAGAGCACCTACCGCGAGCAGAAGCCAGAGACTCTCCTTAGGGAAACAGTCTTTCTGCTTTTAGAACTTGGGGTTTTGTGACACAAATTGACTCATGGCAGTTAGAAGACAAAATAAAATTCAGCATTTTTGCATATAGATAGTTTAAATCTATGTGCCACTTCTTATCACGTTATCTAGTGAGCAAGTGTGGACTGAAGAGGTTAGTAAAACATTAAGCTAGCCTAGTTTATTTTTATAATGTTTATTTTCTTTTTTAATTTGCAAAGTGGGATCCTCAAATATAGTTTCTCAACAGACATGTTTCCTCCACTGGTTTCATAGCAAGATATTAAAAAAATAGATACAAATGTGGGGATAATCTCTCTTTTGGGAAAATATATAAATAAATCCAGACTTGAAAATAACGATCCAAATTGCTATTAATTAAAAACTACGTAGAAGACAACAAAGTTCATGACAAAGCTATACACAAAAGGTAGAGCAATCAGCGTGTTGTAGGTCCAGTTACACAGCAGCTTTATGAATGGACCAACAATTATTTTACCAAGAGTTCTGACTGAACTACTTCAGATTTTTTTTTCTTTTTCACATCCCATTAAGGTTTTCTTTAGGGGAAAGTCAGCAAGCTAGCTGCATGGCTCTCAGTTCATTATTAACTACCCACTCAGCAATTTCCAGAAGGCATGCATAAGTTAATAAAAATTCTGCAGAAAATTGGTATTTCAGAGCTCTGTCCTGCCCTCACTGATTTTATTAAATGAAGTGCCTTTCCGTTTTTCTTATGCTCACAACACTTCGGTCCATTAATCCATTTAGAACTGCTTCTAAACTCTTTGATTAATGACTTAAAACATTACTTTGTGAAAGCAGAAATAGACACCAAGATTACAATCAGGTTTTTAACTTAATGTTCTTCACCTAATTCTTAGTGCAGGCATAATTTATCAGACTGTAAAGGTAAAAAAATCCAAAGTCTACATTGGCCCACATTTCCAAAGCCTCAGTATCTTAACGGATGAAAGTTTTTGTTTTGTTTTTCCTATTAGTGGCAATAGGAAAAAAAGTCTTTTGAGATGGGTACGGGGTGAGACAGTCCCTGTACTGTCAAAGCCAGCTTAATGAGACGATCCATTTAAGTTACTATTACGATTTCCCAAGAAGTTAGCTGCAAAAGGAGCAAGGGAAGCTTCACATTCTGTTCCTCTGAACCAAAAAGAGAAAATGAACGTATTGTACCTGATGCTTTCTTCCCTCCCTTATTTCTGATTCACAGCTTCACTGGTCTATAATGAAAGGAAAAAAGACATGTCTGAAGTTGCCTGCATTCACTGACTATCCAACTTAAAGAATAAAATTTCAAACTGTGCAGCCCTATCCCTTCCACTTCATCTTACTCAGAAGACGTACTGGAAAGACATAACTATGCGAGATCTGCAGGCTTTCAGAGAATAGAAAACTGCTAGAGAAGTTGAGTGTGTGACTAGGAAAAAAAGAAAAAAAAAACGGCAACAGGACTTACGTTCCTCTTTTTCACATTTCAACATCTTCACTACATATTCACAGCGAAGTTTAATAAAACACAGTACAAGTTTAATATCCCATTGGACTAACTTCTCGTATGTTTCAAATTAAGACACAGTTGAAAGCAGCAGCTTTTACAGGCAGCCTCCATAAACTCATATAATTGCTATTGGACTATTTTCCTAGTGATCACCAGATCAAAAAAAGTAATTAAAAACCTTTTAAAAACCCCCCAAAAATCAAAACCCGGTGGAAAAAAAAAAAAAAAAAAAAAAACGGCAACAGGACTTACGTTCCTCTTTTTCACATTTCAACATCTTCACTACATATTCACAGCGAAGTTTAATAAAACACAGTACAAGTTTAATATCCCATTGGACTAACTTCTCGTATGTTTCAAATTAAGACACAGTTGAAAGCAGCAGCTTTTACAGGCAGCCTCCATAAACTCATATAATTGCTATTGGACTATTTTCCTAGTGATCACCAGATCAAAAAAAGTAATTAGATCTTTATTTCCTTCCTCAAAACATTCCTTCCCTCCATTCTCCACGCTTTTCTCCATAAAAAGATGACGGGTCAGTTGTTACCATGCTACTCTGTAAATAAAAGCAAAGGTTCAATTCCCTTCTCTGCCTGTATGACCTCGAGCCACCCAGCGTCATCATTGCTGCATCGCTGCCTTCCAGTGGTACCAAATTAATTTCAGAGGCTTGACAGTGCAGGAGCACAGGCTCAGGAAGCAGCTGAGACACTGGGCAGCACCAGCTCCTCGTGACTACCGTCCTGGGCTGCTACTTCATGGTAATCAGTAAAGGACAGTGTGAGGAAATACCTAATTTTAACTTCTTCCTTTTAGAATCAAGAATTCACTTCTGGTGGAAAAAAAGGTCTCTCGTATGAGAGTCTGTGAGAAGCTGGGCTTAGTCATAGCCCCTTTTTATCTTCAAATCAAATAAAGCTACGGAGGAGAGAAAGTGATGGGGAGAAATGACAGAAACTCCCTCTCCTCCTTCAAACCAGCAATGCTGGGGCTAAGGTCAGATACCGCACCGGGTTTTGATTAAGTGCTGTTGTGTTTAACCCGGCAGGCAGCTAAAC